GTTCTGTCTTAAGAGGCCACCAACTTTTGTTACTCCTTCAATTTATCTGCTACAGCTGCCACTAAAGTGGACAGGGCATTCTGGACTACAAATTGAGAGGGTGGGTAGCCATAGAGAGCCTCAAAAGGAGTCATCTGCAAGCTGTGATGAAATTTGGTGTTGTACCACCATTCTGCTAAAGGTAACCAGGTCAGCCAAGAGGATGAACCAGCCAAAATTATGCATATGAGATAGTCCTCCGAGCACCTATTTAGCCTCTCAGTCTGCCAATCTATTTGTGTGTGATAAGCTGTGGAGTAATGGAGTTAAGTGCCATGGAGCTCAAACATAGTAGTCCGAAATGTACTGGTGAAGATTGCATTCCTATCAGACACAATAGTTTGGTGCATTCCATGGAGTCTAAACTCTTCCCTCATAAACACCTGAGCTACTGAAGCAACAATATAAGGCCTACTCAACCCATATAAACGGCCATACTTAGAAAACCAATCAATCACCACCAAAATTACCTCCTTACCTCTTAACTTTGGCAACCCTTCGATGAAATCCATGGATATATGTTGCCAAGCACGATCAGGTATGGGCAATAGCTGAAGGAGGCCAGGATAAAGAACATTCCCACTTTTACATTTTTGGCAAATGTCACATTCTGAAATCCACTTATTCACTTCCCTCTTCACACCAGGCCACCAGAAGTAGCGTTTCAGGCGTTGATATGTAGCCTGGGTACTTGAATGATCCCCAATGAGAGATTCATGGAATAGTTGCAAGATCTGCTGCCTCATGGTCATAGTAGTACTTGAATAAACCCTGTCAAAACTCATTGATCTTAGGGCCAGTAGTTAGTACAGCAGCCTCCCCCATTGTATCCTGAATCCACACATCATTCTCATAGGTGGATTCCACCTCAGTCAACCATGAAGGTAGTATGGTAGTAATGGCTTCACAGCCTCCATTGGTGAACTCAGGATGCCTTGATAAATCATCAACAACCTTGTTATAGCGGCCCTGCCTGTACTTAATTTCATAATCCAATCCCAACAATTTAACCAACCCCTTCTTCTGAATGTGAGTATGGATCTTCTGCCCAAGTAAGTGTTTTAGGCTTTCATGGTCCGTCAAGATAATGAATGGCGTGCCCTCAAGATAATGATGCCATTTAGTGACTGCCAACATCACAACAATATACTCCTTCTCATACGCAGACATTCCTTGCTTCTGTATTCCCAAGGCCTGACTGAGGTAAGCAATTGGACGACCACACTGGGACAACACAGCTCCTATTCCAACATCACTAGCATCAGTCTCTAGTGTGAATGGTTTGCTGAAATCGGGTAAGGCAAGCACGAGAACCTTAGTATTGTTGTCTTAAGTAACTCAGTCAGGCCAACTTATGGTCCCATAGTTTTTGACAAACTTCCTATAATAGTCAGTGAGCCCCAAGAACCCTCTTAACTGCTTCACATTCGTAGGTCTAGGTCACGACACCATAGTTGAGATCTTAGCTGGATCAGTTGAGACCCTTTCCTTATTGATGATGTGCCCTAGGTACTCAATCTGTGTTTGGCCAAAAGAGCACTAGGAGGTTTTGGCATACAAGGTATTTTTCCTAAGGATGGCTAAGGTGAGTAGTAGGTGTTGAACATGACTGGTTTCATCCGGACTGTAAACTGGTATGTCATCAAAAAATACTAGGATGAATTTGCGAAGGTAGGCTGAAAAAATGGTGTTCATGAGAGACTAAAAGGTGGCATGGGCATTTGTCAACCCAAATGGCATTACCAAGAACTCAAAATGGCCATTGTGGGTTTTAAATGTGGTTTTGTGTTGATCTACAAGATTCATCCTAATTTGGTGATAACCAGAAAGGAGATCCAACTTAGTAAAGTATGTGGAACCTCTCAATTCATCTAGCGGGTCATCTATGACAAGTATGACAAATTTGTCTTTCGCAGTGATAGAGTTGAGTTTTCTATAATCCACATAAAATCTGGAGGTGCCATCTTTCATGGCTACTAACAACACTAGGGAAGCAAAGGGACTTTTGCTAGATTGTATTAACTTGGATTCAAGCATTTCGTTAGTCATTTTATCTACTATATCTTTTTGTGGTAAAGGATAGCGGTATGGTCTTAGGTTCACAGGCTGAGAATTGGGTTGGAGGGGAATAGTGTGGTCACAAGGTCGGGAGAGAGGAAGAGAGGTTGGCTTGCCAAACACATTTGAGTACTCTGGACAACTAGAAGTGAGAAGGAAGGACTCTCACCTGGAAGCTTGACCTCAACCATGCTGAAAACATGTCCTGCCCAACCCTGAACCTTCTTCTTGAACAACCTCTGAATACCCTTTCCTGAAATGATTTTACATGAGCCTACTTCATGTTCCCTAGTCAAAACCACCTCCTTCCCATCCAACTGGAAGAACAACTGCAATTGCACAAAGTCGAACTTAATTGGGCTAATGGTCCTTAACCAATCCAGACCCAAAACCATGTCATGGGTACCCAAATTAAGTATACGAGCATCAACGCCAAAAGAATGACACTGTATCTCCCATGTAAATGAGCTGCAAATAGAATTGCTTAACAAGATTGCGCCATCAGCTAACTTGACCTTCAAGGGAGGAGCCGATACCACATTACATTGCAAATTAGCTATCTTGGATTGGTTCAAGAAGATGTGTGTGCTACCTGTATCCACCAAATTTAATAACTGATGCTTCCTCACCTTGCATTGAACCACAAGAGAATTAGTTGTTCTACCACTGCTCAAAGACTGCATAATCACTTCCTCGGTCTCACTGTTCGAATCCACCTAATCCTCCTCACTCCAATCCGATGGTGCAAGGACCTCTTCATCATCTGGTTGTATTGCATTAAGCTGTTTTTTGGAAGCATCAGACACATGACCATAAAAGTATCGCTCCCCACACTTGTAACAGCCTCCTTTGTTACCCACACTGCCTTTGTTATTGGAAGTAGAAGTCTAGAAGTTCTGTTTCCCACCCCGAGGTGGAGCAGGAGGAGTAGGAGAGGGTTTTCCCCCACTGATAATAGACGGAAATGGTTTTGTCAAACTCCTCCATTTCGCGACGAACCTCATTGGAAACTTCTTTCAATTTAGCCATCTGATAAGCCTGGGACAGAGTTGGGGGTTGCACCATAGTAACCACAGGCCATGATTCATCTTCCAAGCCACTGATAAAACTTGAAATGAAATAATTCTCTGTGAAAGCAAGATTGTAGGCCATCATTTGCGAGCGGAGCTCATCAAAACAGTCCTAGTATTCGACCAGAGACCCAGACTGCCTCAATTTATTGAACTCGCCCACTATACCCCCCATGGAAGCATCCTCAAAACGATGAAGCAGACCAGCCACAAAGTCAATCCATAGCAGTCGCGATGAATTGAGGATCGTCCTTTGAACCACACATCTGCCTTCCTTTCTAGGAAAACAAAAGCAATTTCAACCCGCTCCCCTTCCGGAACATTATACACACTAAATAACTTCTCACAACGCCTAATCCAATCCCTAGGGTTATCACCATGGAAGAAGGGAAATTCTAGGCGAGGGATTTTGATAGTGATTACCTCGAGGAAAAGGAATTTCCTCACGTTCAGCAACATTTATCTCAGGAATGCGGCCTCGAGCAGGAGGAATCACCGCCTCTCCACCCTCAACCCTAGGCAGGGGAAGAATGCCAGGATTAGCATTTCTCCCAATCGGAGCAAGAACGACGCTCGTTGCCGGAAGGACACCTCCTTGCTATTGGAAATTCTGCAGCTAATGCATCATCGATGCCATTTGACCGGTCAATTGAGTGATTTGACCATTCAAGTTCCCAATTTGAGTCTCGAAGCCCTCCAGACGCGATTCCACATTGTGATTCTGAGTGACGATTCTGGCCAGCTGTTGCGAGTGGCCTTCGGCCCTTGTTGTAAGCGCTTGGAATCGTAGATCGTACGCCTCGCATTGAGTCCGAAGAACCTCCGTTCGATCGCCAATTTCTGAGATGTGACCTTTAAGAAGCACAAACGACCATCCATGGCAGCCGAACGTTGATCCAAATCCATCAAATGCTCGTCGATCTGAGCTAAACGAGAAGTACTCGTCGCCATTGGTGTTGAGTAAGGCTCTGGATACCACATTGTAACAGTCTGAAAGATCTACTCATCAGGGATTACCCAGAATAGAAGGGAAGAGAGACGGAGAAGAACAGGAGAGAGAGAGAGAGAGAATGAGATGGAAAGTTTGTTATTCTTCTTTCTTATCCAACAGAATACAACGGATACCCATTAAGTATCCCTTCTCCAAGTGACAGTTGTATGTAACCCACTCTTTCGCTACCATTATTACAGTTTAGTCTCTCACTTCCTATTCTTTACATTTCAGTCCTTAGTGGTTACATCTCCTTTATACATTGCCTTCGCTCCCCGGCTCTCCTCTTCGTCGTATACCAGCCTCGACGAGCTCCACATCCCGATGACGAGTTCGGCTTTCCGAGGGAGTAGGCCATCGACGATTTCCAATTAAAGAGAGAGGATCGAATGAATGAATGAATTTCGGTTGGTCTATCACTTGATTCTTGATTGGACTTGTTTTTCCTGTTTCTCTCTATAAATCTGTTGCATACTGCCTGTTTAATAATAATAATAATAATAATAATAATAATAATAATAATAATAATAATAATAATAATACATCTTGCTATACAGTATACATATTTAGGGATTCTTCTCAATATAGCTTATGCTTTAGTTAAGATGATAATTTGTTCTTGTAGTCTTTGACAATGTTGAGTGGCATGGAACGATTGCCATCATACTTTGTTGTCTTCTGTTAAAACCGGTTGAACTCCGATCCGATTATTAAATTTCAAACCCCTTAACAAATCAATTTGATGAGTTAATGCGGACGGGCGCACAAAATATATCACAATGTACTGTAGTCCTCAAAACAAATTCATCTCTCCTTCCCCCAATGGGCTGTCGTTGTACTTTGTAAGTTTAAGTCCCACCCTCCCCTTTCCCCATTTGGCACTTTCCTTCTCTTCCATTACCGTTTCCCTATTCGACTTCAAGTCTTTCAACCATTTCCTCACCTCTCCCCCCCTTCTCCGGGTTTTCTTTCTTCTTCTGCGGTCAAGCCTTTTCATTATTTCTCCTGCTTCCCCCCTCTCAGTCTCCCAAAGGAAGGAACTCAGTGCCAGTGAGCGAGAGAGTTCTGTATATCTCGCCCCTGTACTTTTCCCAAAGGCAGAGTTCCTATTCACCCCAGGAGGCCTAGATTTCTATTCACCAAGGAAGAGACACAATGTCGGCTGTTATAGACGAAGACCCTCGTGTCAATGGCATCAAAACTAAGATTCGCGTCGTCCCCGATTTTCCCAAACCAGGTTTGAGCCACTGTGTTCGTTTTTCTTTTCTGTTCGAGTTCTGCGCATGGCGGTGCTTGCTGTCTCTTCTGCAGAACTTGTTTTCTGGGTTTTCTAATTTTTATGTAGTCCCTCATCTACCCTGTTGAGCAACCGTGATACCCTGCCTTTTTACCGGTTAAAGTTCGTGGCTTTTCGAATGGAGGGCCATCAAAAATGAAAGGCGGCCATTTTTCTGTATTGTAGCCTAATACCGTGGTGTCATTCTTTCTACAGGTATTATGTTTCAGGACATAACAACTCTGCTTCTGGATCCAAAAGCGTTCAAGGATACTGTTGATTTGTTCGTCGAGCGTTACAAGGGCAGAAACATTTCCGTCGTTGCAGGTAATCTATCTATCTATCCAAATAAGCTGTTGATTTTGGCCCTCATTGTATCTTCTTTTCCGCTAATGATTTGATCCTTGAAACTTTTTATCCTTTTTGCTTTTTTTTTTTAGTATGTATTTTCCATAACCTCTTCCTTCTCTGTTCTTGAGTGGGTGATGATGATGGTGTTGGTGGCGGGACCCGGATTTTTTTGCCTACACGGCAGAAATTCGCCCACTGCTGCACAACCTTCTTTCGAACTACCCATGAGAGAATTTATTTATATATATTATCTAATCTTGTTTCCGTTCATTTGTTTATTGGGTTTTCTTTTGTTTCCCTCTTCAATTCTACTGTTGTGCTAATTACTTGTTTGACTAAGGTCTGATAGTAAGTGCGCCATTGATTGCCAGACTGCCAGTCACTCCTTCCTTCAGGTTTTTCTTGTATTTTTTTCATGATACCCTTTGAGCTGCACCTCTCCCTTTTGTTTCAAATCACTCAAGAATCTAGTTCTTGTCGAATAAGATCATAAAGCCCGAAACTTCCTTCGTCCTTGCAATGAAGAATGGTTGTTGCCTCGTTGCAGTCTCGAATCTGAAACCTTGATTGAATTGGACGGAGTCCCATGAACTCCTGCTCTGATTGATGGAGGCCCCTCTCCTTTGCCCCATTCCCTGTTTTGACTAATTTGTTTTGTTGTGAGCATGTGCTATAGAGATCTTCTTTGGGTGGATGGTGGTTGGTGATGGATGCCACCCTTGTTTTAAAAGGGGTAATGGTGGTGGACCCTTAATGATGCTGGTTTCTGTTAAGCCTCCCCAAGGCTGTTGTTTTGGTACCTCTAGTTGCTGGTGGTACTTATTTCTTCACCTTGCCACTGTTTGGGGGAAAGATGCATTCATCATGGTTTGGTGATTTAAGCCTGCTGTCACATTGTTATTCTCTGTTTCAGCCTTTTGGCTTATGCCTTAGCTGTTTTTTTGGTACTTGTTTTTGTTTCTGCTACAGCTTTAAGGATATATGTTACCAGCATTATCTTGGATCTTTTGTCTTAGTGTGTGTTGCTTTTGATGGTTGTCTTCTTGTGTTTGTGTGATGCAACTTTTTGATCATTGGGGAGAATCTTCTCTCCAAATTATAAGTTTCATTTCATATCATCAAAGAAAGTTTGCTTGATAAAGTACTGCAGAAAATACAAAATATATGAGCATGTTTTTGGTGCATTGTCTGCCAAGTTGATTCTATCTAAACACATCACCACTAGCACAACATTTTGATTTTGAGCAGGAACAGTTAAAGTTTTTGTCAGGATCAAATCAATACAGCTGATATAAAGCACATCTGGTTACAAGACAAATTCTGTTATCTTTTTGTAACAAGTTGGGGTTTTCTATGCTTGGACTTACATAACGCTTCCAGTGTATAGCAGAAGGTGTTTGTAATAGCTCAGAGGTTTTGATTTTGATGTTGATAAGCCTATTTAGTTTATTTTAGTACAGAAACTCTTCTCTTGGCATCTCAAAATTCTTCTTCAATGTCTCATATGCTTATAACTTGCCACTGCACAATTGTAACTTGGTTGATGTATAAAATCTTCAGGAGTAATAACTAATAACCAGTCACTGTATCTCATTAAGTGGTCATGGGTTTTGCTTCCAGGAATAGAAGCTCGAGGGTTTATTTTCGGACCTCCCATTGCATTGGCCATCGGTGCAAAGTTTGTTCCTTTAAGGAAGCCGAAAAAGCTCCCTGGTACTCACTTATTTATAACTCAGTTTCATCACCAAAGTTCACTCCCTTTTGTGTCTTCTTTGAAACAAAGTTCCTGTCCGAATGAACGAACAGGTGAAGTTATATCAGAGGAGTACACGCTAGAATATGGAAGCGACTGCCTTGAGATGCACGTTGGAGCTGTCGATAAGGGCGAATGTGCACTGGTAGTTGATGATTTGATTGCTACTGGTGGCACTCTTTGCGCTGCCATGAATTTACTCGGTAACTTCTGCCACAAGTTGCTTCAGTGTTAAACTTGCAATTGCTGGGCCTCCAAATGAATGCTTCAGCTGTCTAAATGAGTACAAAGAATCTGTAAAAGCATGTGGTGAAAATGGATTTGCTGATTTTGCATCTTTTCGTCTCAGAACGAGCAGGAGCAGAAGTTGTGGAGTGTGCATGTCTTATCGAGCTGCCTGAGTTGAAGGCGAGTCATCTGCTGCCATACCATGGATACCCTTTGCTTGTGCTCACTTTCTCTGAAACTGGGTGAGCTAAATCCTTCCTGAATGTTTGCAGGGGCGGGATCGATTACATGGTAAACCGCTGTACGTGCTTGTGGAGTATCTCTAGAGGGTTTGGTTGCGGATTTTGGCTGAAGTGATGCAGCAGAGAGTGGTATGGAAGAAAGAAAGAAAGGAAGTGTACATTCTTGAGGGATATATTGTTGGTGAGATGAGTAATCTGGGAATTGTTCACTACTTGATTAGTTGAATTTTGGGCTTAAATTATTGTGGCTATTTCTGTTAAATGTTAATGCTTCCAAGCTAGTGAGCTAGTAGAACAGCAGACATTATTGATATGAAGTGAGTGAGCTTATGATTGAAAATGTGGTCACTTAAGTATGCACGCAAGAGGAATTTTCTCACTCTGTTGTCGAAGTTTCATTGGTAATCTTATTGCCATCAACCATCGTTGTTAGCCTTGATTGGCGGTGCAATTTTGTAAGACTATATTGTGACATCGTAATTTAACTTCATAATGCGTTTGATAAAAAACATAGAATTAGTAGAAATCATATAAAATCATTCTTGAATTCGTAAACCCAAATTTCAATTATGTTAAATAACTGTAATGCCACATCGTGAGCAATTATAGAAACACCTTGTCAGTTACAAGAAGACAAATGTGTGAATTAAATCGTTGTTTATCCATATCCATCAAGTCATATATATATAAGGAAACTTATAATCAAAGGGAGGAGTCATTTCAGCCACTTACAGCACCATACTAATGAGTATTGAAACACTGATTGTGTGGGTGTTCAATTGCAGGGTGATGTGTACCTAATTGATTACTATTATGACTTGCAACCGAAACCATTAGTGCAGTCAAGGTTTGTAATCGAGTTAGCGTCAGTTACGGTTCCTAATTGGTAGGAATCTGCAAGTCAGTCATTGGAGAGGAAGAAGATGATTTCATTCAAGGGTAGTTGCTGATCTGAAAGTCCTGAAATCAATACATTAAAACGGGTTGCTAAGAATAATAATGCCCCCTATCAACTTCACAATTGAATTGCAGTCTCCCAGTCTTTGGTGAATTTCCTATTTGCTAGGTGCTTCTGGAGGGCTTTTTTTTTTTAGAGTTCACATTTGTTGAGATTGACTTTTTGTAGGCCGCTTACATGGTCAGATCAGATCAAAGCCATTTCTTGGCCCAAGTCTAAGAAGGCCTACTAAGCCGAAATATGGGGCTAATGGAGGTCTGCCGTTGGCCCCCAACAACTTCAATATTGAAGAAAAATAGCATTACATTTACAGCTCTTTACTCTACAACGACAACATATCATATTTCTACCAATCGAAGATGAACCTAGGCATCAACACATCAGCCTTGTCCAGGATTGTTTGGCGGATGGAGTATTGTCTGTTCTCACAGGTTTGCAATAGATTTCAGATTGCAATCAGACATTCTTTCTTGGCTTTTATATGAAATGATTCATAGTTCCACTTTCTGCGATATTAAAATTATGAGATAATAGGTTTTTTGTTCTCTTTTCCCTTAACATGGACCACAAAATCAGAAAATTTATCTTTTCACTTCGGTATGATTTAGTATTAAACGGTCTTTCATCACATGAAGGCCTTTTTTGGTATTTTTTTTCTGATATATCTATTTTGTGCAACCTTGTTGATGGAGCCAAATGAGCACCCAAATCCATCTTTGATGTTCCAACTAGCATGCAATTATATTTTAGATATGGTTTTCTGTAATTAATTTTGAGTTTCGATATAATTTCTAATAGTAAGTGTTATATCTTGTTTCCAATATTCCGCCGTTTAATAGAATCAAATCTCCGCAATTTTGCATAACAGAGAAAGATACAGGTATTTCGAAATAATACATTTTGTGATGCAATTATAAAATAAGACAATTGTTAAACAATTAAATCAAATTACACCATTTAAGAAATTCTTTGATCCAACCAACGCCTATATACACCATGTCTTTATTTTCCTGCCATTAGTATCAGATACAATAATCGACCTTCTCAACCCCACCTGTTTCTCAATTAATGTGTAAAGAAATTCAAGAATATTACTCAAAGAAAAACAATATTTCAAGACTTTGCAAAGCAGTTATCCCTCTCAATTATCATAAATCAGTTGGTCCCAATAACTCGAGTTGTTGGGAGAAGGTTATGTTGGATCTTATACCACTCTTTAGCACACCCCCTCAAACGAAAGCCAACCATGGGTTTGAAATTTGCACGGGCGATCACCATACCTTATGCTTTCAATTAACTGTTAATATTGGGGGTCGTGGAGATTCGAACACATGACCACTTGGTCAAACCAGCTCTGATACCATATCATGAACCAATTGATCCCAATAACTCAAGTTGTTGGGAGAAGGTTATGTCGAATATTATATAGGCTCATGTATGGTACTTAACCACTTCCTTACACGCCCCCTCAAACGAAAGCCGACTCATGGGCTTGAAGTTTGCACATGTCTGCCATACCATGTGCTTGAAAGACAACGGTTAATATTGGGTGTCGTGAGGACTTGAACACGTGACCTCACGGACAAACCAGCTCTGATACCATATCATAAATCAGTTGGCCCCAATAACTCAAGTTGTTGGGAGAAAATTATGTTGGATCTTATACTATTCTCTAATATCAATTTCCTAGTTCCAATGCAATCCTTTAATTCCCCCTCCCCCCTCCCCCCTCACTAGGGATGGCAATGGGGCGGGGCGGCCTCAACACTCATTCCGCTCCATGCTACTGCGGGTCGGGTCAGGTAAAACCCACGCGGGTACGGGGTAGGGCCGGTCGACCCACTCTTACATGTTATTTGAAAAAAATACACGCAAATTTTACGTTTTACAATAAAACGATGGGAAAAACATTTTATGAATGAAAAATAGTGATAATAGAATGAGTAATTGAGTCTAACAAGTTGAAAGATCGACTCTAGAAAGTTGAAGAAAAGTCAAATTAGGAGAAATATGTATAGATATCGTAAGAAATTGAGATACTACTTCCGGGTCGGGTAATACCAGCCCCATCGCGGGTCAGTTCGGATAATATCTGCGGGACGAGTTCAAATTTCCATCGCTGCCCTCACTACTTGAAATCCTAATATGAATAGTTATCTATTGCGCATCCACATCTACCATCCATCGATCTTTTCATGAAGTCGTAAAAATAAAATAGAATTGCAATATCCACCATAATACAATCTTTAAGATAGAAAAATAGTAGACATGAAAATGTCTAACCTTCTCTTGCATGTGAGCTTTGTGGGAAAGATGAGCCTAGTTATCCCTAGCTAGAGCTTTTGTTAGGACTTTAGGATATTACCCAATTTCTCATCTAACATTGCAATTGAGAAGCCTCTACCAGAAAGATGGCGACTTTACACCCATTCCCTCTCCCTTCCCTTCAATTCAATTCCTTATCAGAAGGGCACACCAAAAGTTAGAAATGGGATGGGAAGATAACGACCATCCCTTGCCATATGTGAAGTATCTATCTTGAATTCCAAACAATTTATAACCTAGTTAGCTAGCTATGACCATTGCACCTCAACAATATACCACCAGTCACCACTCCCTTCCCACTTTATGGGCTGTGTACATGTGGATTTGATTCTTGAAGTACCATTCAAGTATAATCCTCTTTAGATATAAAAAAAAAAGTATAATCCTCTTTAAGTTCAATCTAACATATATTGTGCAATCTTCAAGATAATTGGTTATAAAATCAAAGAAAACAAGACAATTAGCCCAGCCAGACAGATCAATTGGCTAGGGGGTGTACAATGGTTGGGTGTCCGAGACGGAACTGGACCAAACCATAATAATCGTAGTCCAATGGTAATGGACATTTAAGATCATAACTGGGTTGTCGGTACATTTGGTCCAGTTTGATCCATTATTTTTTTAATACGTAGAAAATTCATGAGCGTCCTATTTGGTTCGAATATGAGTTTATGACAGATTAAAATTAGTTCCACTTTGGTCGATTGCGGACCAAATCGTTGCACCACTTTTGCAAGTGACTAAATGATTAAACTAATTTACTGTTGGTATTTCAATGAAAAAGAAGCTGATTAACCGTGTAAATTACAAAATGTCATACTCTCTCTATGTATATGGTTAAGCGGTCAAGATTTGCTTAATAACGTGACTGAGCTCACTGTATGATTTGACTTCCACTAGACCATAAAAAGGAAAAATTGAATATGTGCCAATTTTAATTCAATTAAGTATATGGGTGGTCATCGGTTAATTTGGTTCAAACCCCAATTGAATCGAGATAGGACCAAACTAAAAATGTAGGGAAAATAGGATCAAAATCAGAACATAGTCATATTTAATTCATTTGATTTGATTTGGTCTTATCCAAATACCGGTTCACGGCATGATTCATCCGGTGTTAATCAGATTGTTGCACACCGTCATTGAGTTACCACTAACCACAAATTCATGTCCTATCTTTATCGAAAAATGTCCTAATCCACATTATGTCAAAGTCAAATAATCTGCAATGGGGATTAGTAACAATGATTTGAATCGACCTTTGATGTAGAGGTATGCGATTCCAACTGATTATGTTGATCTCAAGGAATTTATCATAATCACTAATCAGTTTGGTGTCTTTTATCACTAAAAAAGGGAATCCTAGTATGATTAGCTTTTCTTTCAGTTTAATTATGAAAACGTGTCAATAATATGCAACAAACAACAACAAAACAACCAACTACTACTTTGTCAAGGAACGATTAGTGACTCCTAAAATTGGTACATTCATTTCTCTCTTTTGAACTGAATAGTGACGAGTATGTGGCCCATTGATAAATTGGGTCGAGTCTTAACGATTAAGTCTGTAAATAGGATGGCAATTGCTTCTCGATCACATTTTGTACTTCCCTTGTCTACTAAAATTTGGGTAAAGCTTGTGCCCAAAATAATGGCTAAATTACACATTTGGTCACTCGAATTGCATAAATTTTTCACGTTTGCCACTCGAATTACTTTTCTTTCTGATTAACCACTAACTTTACAATTCGTTTCACCTCTAGTCATCGACCGTTAGTCTCCGTCAAATTCCGTTAACACCGTCAAATTTTTGATGATGTGGCAAACAGAGTGCTGACTGGGCTGGCAAAAATTGTATTTGACCTCCTAATCAGCACAATCCGACCCAACCAAAAAAAACTATAAAACAATAAATAAAAAAACCGACCCACGCCCTCACCAATGCTTCTTCTCCTCTCTCGATTTTCCCAGGGAGAGTGGGAGTCTGGGAGACATACCCTCCCTTGTTTGCATTTGATCTCATCTTTTCTCGTTAGCGTATCTTCACTAAATTTTCAGATCCAAAACCAATTTCTTCTTCTTTCATTTTTTCCCAAAAACCCCAAATCTTATCTGCCGCTGTGTCACCGTCGGAGTTGTTTCTGCCAGGCCAGCGTCTGGCAACTCTTTTCTGCTCTGTTTTTTCTTCCCCCTTTGTTTAATCCGAGACACAGCGGAAGAGAAAACAAGGATATCGTCGACCTCGAAGCGGAAAAGGGAAAGGAATAATAGTCTCTCATTTCTCTTATTCTGCATTCTCCGGCATCGATTTTCAATAGAATTTCTGTGCTCTATTCGCGCCATCGATCGAATTCGGGGCTCTCCCATCTCTGAACCCATTCTAACCGGCTGAACTATTGAGATCTTGGATGAATAAGATTGGCCTATACTAACCTGGTTGGGCTTTCAATCAGGTTTTCTGGTTTGATTTTCCTCCCGAGAAATGTACAGAGGATTGCTAGTGCTCTGAGAAATTTTGAGCTTGACTTCGATTGTGCATGCACCCTTCTCTCGAGATAATTTATTTTTATTGAATGATCTCTAGGCAAGGGGAGGAAACCCTAATTACCACGATGGGGAACGATGAGGTCGACGCCTTGAATGTGAATGTGGGATTAGAGGTAAGGTAAGGTGGGATTGATGAAATGAAATGGAGATGAAGCTGAATGAAGATTAGAGGCAAGGTAGGTAGAGGCGCAGGCGGCAGGAGGCGGGTGTTCCCCTGGGAAAATCGAGAGATGGGAAGAAGCATTGGGGGGTATTTTTTCTTTGTTTTTGTTTTTTTAGGTCAGATTGTGTTGACTAGGCGATCAAATAGCATGACTCATCCTTTTTGTCAGCTCAGTCAGCACTTCCGTTAGCCACGTCATCAAAAAATTAACGGTGTTAACGGAGTTTGACGGAGACTAACGGCCGGTGACTAGTGGTGAAACGAATCGTAAAATTAGTGGCTAATAAGAAAGAAAAATAATTTGAGTGGTAAACGTGAAAGATTTATATAATTCGAGTGACCAAACGTGTAATTTAGCCCCAAAATAATTCAATATAGTTCCTTGGCTGAATGAAACCGAACAAACGATCTGTTGGTAGAGATGTGTCATCTCCTTGCTAATGATGCTCCCTTCAATTCTTCCCTCTTTTGATTGTCTTGTCGCCTTTCTTGAAATGAGTTGCTGAATGAATTCAGATCAACAGAAAGAAAAGATGAGTCACCAATGTCTATGAAGATAGACTCAAATAGAATCTTTTGCCTTCTTATCAAGATTCTAAAAAAAAAAAACACAAAGTCTATTACGTTATATGCAAACGAATCCTACTATTGATGATAGTATAACAGTTGTTGTCATGTGACAGGAAGCGTTTTTTTCTCTCTCCACGAAACGGATTAGCCTACTATCTTGCTGAGAATATTAATGTAGAATGTTGAAATTCATGACTTATCGTTCATATTGTTTTGACTCCACCAGAATCGCATTAGAACAAGCGAGCGAAACTAGTCATTGACAAACCTTGTTGCAACCAATATCATGAGGTTATCGCCATTTCTTGATAATCAACACATACCACTATATGGTATCACGAAGAGATAAGAACTATACGAGGAAAGGATCCACCATGCCATCACAACTACCCCCGAGGCTACCACTAGGTATCCTTGGGAATCAATGGAAGCAAGCCCAATTGCTCGCTCCAGCTTGTAGTGATCAGGTGCACTACCAGAAGTAAACAAGCACCATCAGACCAGTGTCCCCGACAATTTCAACTTCACCAGATGTATAGCAAATGGAAATATGTTTAAATAAGCACATATACCACCTGACTTAGCACTAAATATACATCACGGTTCACGCATCACATGATATTTAATACTTTCACGTATCATTATGAAATAAGACTTCACTCTTCACTAATACACAAGACAAACTCATTGGAGAAACTCTCTCCTAATTTCTTATCTAACTTGAATTTCGAAGGGTCTCTAGACGCTAGATAATCCAAGCCAAGAATAGGGCAAATGGCGTATGCACAAAGAGGCAAAACCCCTATTCACGAGCAACCATCATCTAGTACATATGATATGAGCCCTAGCTAGCTATATATCCACAGGCATGGCTGGCAAAAAGCTCATGTTTCTCTTTATCCTTACATCCCTAGGCATCAGTCATAACATATAATGCAAACATTTCAATGCTCTCATTAGATTTGGATTTATGGAGCTACGCAAATGCAAAGCATAAGAAATTTTAAGGGCCGATATATATAGTGGCTATTTTAATACTCCGTTTTCTTCAAATTTCTCTACTTTTGGGTGTCAGGAGATACGTGGGTTAGGTATATATCATTAATCGGTTTGCAAAAGGTTGGTTATTACTTGGAGAGGTGTATTGTCTTGTCGATTGTCATAGCTAGTGCTGGCATCCTAATTAAGTACTTACATTTGGTGTTCCTTATTACCTTATGTACAGTACATCTGAAGAAGAAGAAGAAGAAGAAGAAGAAGAAGAAGAAGAAGGTGAATGGCATCGTCGTGGTTGAATCATTGCAGATGTGTCAAAAGAGGATTATATTGAATGAATAGAAGACCATCATGTTCATGGCCGGCCAATGTCCAAAGATTTTGTGCTTCCAAGATTATCATAATTACCAACCAATACACCGAAAGGGTAAACAAAGAAAGAAAGAAAGAAAGAGAAGGAATGCAAATCTAACGGTGACTATCACCACTATCATTATTGCTTTATCATTCCATTTTCTTCTCCCCTTATTCAACCTTCACCGTCATCATATTGCCCTTACACCAACTATACCTCATCTAATTCACATTATATTGTCGCCATGAATCTGACCTTCCACTTGGTAATAGTTGAATGGTTTTTTCTATAATTTTCATAGACGAGTTTTTGTTGAACAATAATGATATTAGCAAGTGTCATTATGAACAAATAACGATTTATTTTTAATAGAACAAGCGATATAGCATGGCCCTCTTCTACCTTACCCTCGAGCTCACTGATCGTGTAGTTATTACAAGAAAAATCCTAACAATTAACCCGGGTTATGAAGAATGACCAACGGTAGCCAAATAAAGGCGGTTAATTTGCATTAAAACAGAATCAGTTAAAGAAATTAAACAAATTACCAACGTTAGGTTGATTGATTAGCATTTATAGACTCAATTTTCTCAAGCAAAAAATATTCAGTCCACAAAATCAGCGGAAAACAACAACACAGAAAAATTTGTGTTGATAAACGGAAAAACAGTGCAAAAAGGACAATAATGATAACAATAATAATAATTTCCTACTTAATGGTGTTTTATTTATTTATTTTTACAATTTATAGATGATAAGAAAGCAAGGTAACACCGCACGGCTATCAAACACCAGCAACTCGCCGTCGTCCCCACTCACCGACTCAAACCCGACCCGCTTCTCCTCCCCCGGCAGCAACGACTCGAACCCGACCCGCTTCGACACCCGGCCCGCCACGACCCGACAGACCAGCATCGCCCTCCTGCCCTTCCCTCCGCCGGCGCTCTCGTGGGCCCCGCCGCTCCCTGAAAACGTGCAGATGGCCGACCCCTTCACTCCCGGGAACACCCACGCGCCGCCTCCCCGCGCGTCGCCGGCCGGGCCCAGGCAGTAGAACCTCATCATCTCGTTCCCGTCGGCCACGCACCTCGCGTTCTCCTCCCACGTCCCGCCGCCGGTACCCGACGACAACCCGGCCCGGGACTTGACCAGCTCCCGGTACTCCTCGAACCGGGTCGAGGTCCGCGACCCGTTCTGGACCTTGAAGATCATCTCGATCCGACCCGCGAACGACTTGTCGCTCCAGCTCGTGTGGAATATGATCTCCACCACGTTCCTCGACGGGTGCCCCTCCGGCAGCTCCGTCAGCGCCGGGAAGATCGCCGCCGGTTCCGAGGGGCTGTGTCTGTGCCCTGGTCGGGACGGCGGCGGGGCAGGGGCAGGGGAAGGGGAAGGAAACGAATCGGATTTTGAATCGAGTTTGGGCCTCGGATCCGGGTCCGACTTCTGGTGTCTCTGCCGCTTGTAATCCCGGTGGTGGTGGTGGGATTTGGGTAGTTTGGAGAGCTTGTGGTTGTGGTTATGGTGGTGGTGTTTGGCGGCGGCGGCGGTGTCGATGACGTCCTTGATGCTCTGAGCGGATTTCCGGCAGCTGGAGCTGGCGATGAGGTTTCGCGGAGCTGGGCTGAACACGTCATCGAACGCTCTGGATTTGCATTGTAGGGATTTTACCCAACCGGTCGCCATTGCTGCAGAAAATAAACGAAAAAAGACAGAGTTTCCTTCCCTCTGCGATTGAATCGAAGGAAGGGGGAAAAATGGAAGATTGGGGATTTGAGCCTAGGACGAAATTCTTCTATCTTTCATGGCTGCTTCACTCTCTAATTTGTTCTTCCTCTCTGTTTTTTTGCGTTTGTCTTTTCTGCCGGCGTTTGTTTCTCGCCTGTGGTTTTTTTTATCTCTCTCTAGAAAATGGGTTTGGTTGAGGATGAAGAAGAAGGAGAGAGGAGAGAGAAAGGTTGGGAAATGGGGATGGAAGGGACATGGCGGGATAATAAATGGGGGTACCTGCCTGCTGCTGATGACCGGCCACGGCCCTTTTTAAGGGCGTAATTCCGATATTGCCCTTTCTCTGTCTCCTCTTCTCCTCCATGATGAGAGAGAAGATCTTCATCTGACAACGCTTTAATTCTCCTCGTCTTCACTGTCACCTCTTAGTTAATGAATGACAAGATTTTTATTATACGGTATTGTATAATTGTATCGTACTGTACAGCAAATGTGTATTACCAGTATTACTTAACGTATTTCTGAGTTTGAATTTGTTTCTTCTCTCGTATTATAGTTGTTTTCCTTAAGTTCCACAGAATATTTGGATCCCAATTTTAGATTCTACTCTGCCGTTTTGCCTTTTTCCCAACCTGTAATTATATGTGCAGTTGCCGAGTTGCGTGTGTTTTACTTTTGCAGAAGTTTTTTTTCCTCCTGAATTATAACTTTGAAAATGAGTTAGGCTCAGCTTAAATTAATAGGACATAATACGATTGATAATGCCGATTAAGAAATGTAATACTTAACGTCTAGTGTATGGTTGTAGGTCTACGCATAGGCAGAGCCATGATATTCGAGGGTGTCAACCCTCAAGGACACTCCTAAAATTTAGAAATAATAATTGATTTTTATGGTTAAGATTTGAACTCTAGGCAATATTTACCTTAATACGAAAATTTACTTATTCAACAGAAAAGTTAATGGGATACATCAAAATAAATTTATTTTTAAAATATAAATAGTTTATGTATATTAAAGTTATTTTATAATATTGAACTACAGCATGTTCTTATTGAAAACTAGACTTGTATTAGGGTGCGTTTGGATAAGTGAATTTTAAATGTAAGGTATTTGAAATATTAGCATTTGAAATGGATGTATTCGAAATATTAGCATTTGAAATACATGTAATTCAAATTCATTGTTTGGATACTCATTTGTAATTTGTTTGTATTTTGTATTTTATGATTTTCAATTTCAATTTTTAATTTTCTGGTCACTTACTACAAATTTTGGTAAATTACAGTTTGGTACCCAAAATTATTTTTTCTTACAATTTAGTACCTAAACTTTTAAAATTTTACAAAAAGGTCCTGAAATTTTGATGGTAAAATTACATTTTGGTACCTTTATATGTTTTGCCTCACACTATAGTACCTAAACTTTTCATATTTTACAAATAGGTCCATTCTTTTGTTAGGAGGTATTTCAAATCACTAGTTGTTGAAATGTATTTGAAGTTGACAAAAAATACACTAGACATGTATTTAGAAATCACCCCATGAATTTGACACAAATCCAAATACCAAATGTAATTAATATCCAAACACATGATTTGGTATTTGGAAATCCAAATCACAAATACCAAATCCAAATCATTGTATCCAAACGCACCCTTAAGGAAATTTCATCGAGTTAGCGATAATCGCGTTGCATGGGACTTCTCCTTCATAATTGTACAGCATTTAAATAAATGAATGCATCAACATCTGACCAAGGTTACCCATGAATAAAATACCGAAGTCCAGTTGGCACGTATAGCATCCATGTATATATATATTTTTCTTCTTTTTTCGGTCCTTCCACTGTAGACGGTTGGAAGTTTGAATTTAAGCAATTTTATCCCAAAGACATAAATAAATAAAAACAAGATTCCAATTTGAAAATTGAATTTTGGATGTTAAGCATTAATGTTCGTCGAGGATGGGTGCAGCTATAATTGATTAATAGCGTATTAACGTATTTCAAAGGAGGGTATTTTAACGTGTGGTTGACAGGTTGAGTAACGTTGGTCAAACGCAATTACAACTAAAACAAACCAATAACTAATTACGGCATTGCATTAATGGGGTGCTATAAATAATTTGATTATTCCAGAGAGAGGATTGTAGCGTCTCTTAAAGGCTTTGAATACACCTAGATGTGCTCTAAGACGAGTGTTACCAATACCATTAGGAATGGCAATTTCGACCTGACCCGTTTTACCCGACCTGTTTGACTTGTTTTGGGGCGGGTCGTAGGTGGGGCGGGCATGGGTACTCTCATAGACCCGACCTGCCCTGACCCGTCCCATTCTCGACCCGTTCTCCCCTAAATTACACTTAATTTTAGTAAAATTAGTTAGGATTTTCCTTTTACTAAATCAAATTTTAGCTGTAATAAAGTTGTAAATTAGTGAAAACCTCAATTTCTCCAATAATTTAACTATTTATCATAATATTGTTTGTTTCCATGGTCTTATAATAAAAATAACGAACATTTCTAATATTTTTCATATAAATTGCTTACCCATTGGGTCGACCTGCCCGACCCGTGACCCGTGATAAATTACCCGACCTGGACCCGACCTGTCACGGGGCGGGTCTGGGTACCAAGAAACCCGCCCCGGACCTGCCCCATTGCCATTCCTAAATACCATATACATTTCTTAAAGGCTCTTAACACACTATTATGTTAAAACGTCTTAAAGAACTCTATACATGTTAATACTATATGTTTTAGGTGTAAAAACGGGTGGATGGTTTGCGCCTGACTTCTATGATGAAAACGATTGTTACTACGGTCCACACCTTTTCAAACACTGTTCGAATGAGGGTGTTTGGTGTATGGGGAATCTACGTTACCTTACACTACTCCTATGAAGATTCCTTGAGAGCTCCACGACTACAATTAAGACAACTGCTATGGAGGATCCTTCGCGGAGGAGAGCTCCGCAAACTACAGAGAAAAAGGGGACAGTTGAGACAAGTTGTCTTTGTGTTGGATTGTGTTATGTCTGCCTTGCTCCAAGACGTTGCTTCAAGTTTTGTTGTCAAGATTTGTCCAACTGTTTTCTCTCTTCTAATCCCGAAAAGTAGCTTCGCGTAGCCTCTACGCAAGTCAGTTGTCGCCAAGAAGTCTTTGGGCACGTCGCCACGTCATCCTGTTTCAATATGGATGCTACCATCCAACTAGTACTTTGGATGACATCCATGATATGGGATGGTCACCATCCAATTATTCCTTTGGATGGTGTCCATGATATTCAAGGCGGAGGGATAGAGTAATAGGGTGGGTCCCGGGACCCACCCTAGCCCGGGAGGAAATTTGTTAAATTAGGTATAATAGTTAATTGATATTAAAAAATTAGGGTGAGTTTAATTGATAATAATTGATCGAAAGATGTTGCGTTTGAATTTTGGTGATCTCATTTGTTTAGCATATGATATCCGGATTTATGCAAACTTCAATTTCACAAAAGGAGTTGTATTATTGATACTACAGTTCTTAACAAAGAATACAATTCGAAAGTGAATGAATAACTAAATCACGAATAATTGTTTGGTATAAGATTCCTTATTAAACATCTCTCAACAAATTGAGTTATTTACACTAAACGGTTATTAACAAAGAACACCACTCGAAAGCGAATGACTAACTAGATTATAATGATTTTTCGGTATGTAGGGAGTGATATTCTGGATAGTTTCGACTACTGATGTATTTTAATTTATAAAAATAAATGAAATTATATCATGAATAATTAAATTTTTTAACAAAAGCTATTTTATCATGTGTATTAATTTTTCTAAATGGACCCACTATAAATGAAATCCTGGCTACGCTCCTGATGATATTTGGGATGGTACCATCCACCATAGGGTTGGATGGTATCCATGATGTGGGATGATCACCATCCACTATATGAGATGGTACCATCCATTTAGAGGTTTGTTGGTATCCATAATGTGGGATGATCACCATCCACTAAAAGGTTGGATGGTGTCCACTATATGGGATGGTACCATCTAATTAGAGGTTGGATGATATACATAATGTTGGACAATACCATCCACCTATAGGTTGGATGGTTACCCTGGAACTCGGCATATGGTGACCAAGTAGTGTTAGGTCACCCAAGTAGTATTTCAGGAGGGAAAATATTTTAGTGTAAACACTATAACATATGTATGTTGACCAAGCATGCACACACTAGCAAAAAATGGGGTCGAGAATGATACTTTGGTAGAATTACAAATATGAGTGTAAATAACAAATCAGTAATATCACTACTTATAATTTAGGGTAATGTCTATCTTTTATCCAAACATTTTTCAGATTCTTTTATATTAGCCAAATCTATCAAAATACTAAGAATTAACCAAATGTTAACTTTCTGTTAGTGATTTTATTAGTAATAGTGACTTGGCAACATGATACTAACTTGGAAGAGACACATGAAAGTCAACATTCCAAAATTTTAGTATTTTAACTAAGAAAAGAGTTACAAAATTATTAACGATAACGTAAAAATGGCTAATATTTTGATACATTACGAAAGATTGAGCTAATTAATAGCATTTTAATAGACTTGGATAATATAAAAGAATCCAAAAAAGATTTGGGTAAAAAATAGACATTACCCTATAATTTATCTAAACGTGATATTTCATACAAATACCACATAGCAAATAACAGGTATTGTGTCATATGGTACTTACGTCAACGTGGTAATTGGTTACAAATAACAGGTTTGACAAATACCACATCCAAACGACCCAATAAAGCATAACAGAACCTTACACACACCACAAAATTCATAAAGCAAACTAGAAAACTCAAAGCATACCACAAATTTTCTTAGGTGGACCAAAAACCTTATAAAGCAGGCAAAAAGTTTGTTAAAAGCATATCAGAAACTTCATAAAATCGACCAAAGGCTCTCTAAAGCAGATTAGAAACCTCATCAAGTATACTTTAAGTTTATTAAAGCAGACAAAAAACATAATAAAAATATAAAAAAGGAATGAGCCTAATAAAGCAAACCACAAGTTTATTAAAGCATATCACAAGTTTATTAAAGCATATCAAAAACCTCATAAAGAATACTAGAAACCTCATAAAATTGTATCTATTTACAACATTTAAAAGTTTAGGCATAGGAAAGTAACACATAATTTTTTTGGTACTAATAATAAAATGTCCACCAGTATTTTTAGTATTTAAATGCCAAAATAATTAATTCCACACTAAATCTTAATATCTATTATAATTAGGTATCTAACTATAATTTGCGTATGAAACTCAAAATTCATAACACGAAGGGGGTAGAAGCTGTTTTTTTATGAATAAAGAAGGAATGAATTGTTTTAACTTATAAGTGGTAGTCATTATAATACCCTGATATTTAGTATTGATTGTGTGCATTCTATCAGATTTTGTGCATATAAGGATTCTCTTGGTAGTACTATACTACATTGGCAAGTGGCAACCATTCCTTGCTTATTCCACGTCAATTGTTCTTTTTTTTTTTGTCAAAAGATAATTGATATATTGATCAGAAACAAAGGTAGTTACATCCTGGCATTGAGCCAGGCCAGCAAATTAAAGCAACGACTCGTAGTCGGGTACAACGAAAGAGCCTTTCTAGCCACCAAATGAGCTGCCCTATTACTACGCCGACCTACAAACCGAACCGAGAAACCTCCCACCGATCCAAGCACTCCTACAATCTCCTCAAGAAGTGCCCCCACTCTATTATCCCTAGTATTCGCCTGATCAATCTTCTGAATAAGCACCTTGGCATCTCCCTCAAAGCGCACCTCCACAAACCCCGAGTCCCGGCACCAGAGAACCGCTTCATGAAGAGCAAGGGCTTCAGCAACCAACGGGTCATCAATGCCTGCAAACTGAAAGCCTCTGGCTACCAGAATGACCCCCAAGTGATTCTTTACCACCATCCCCCCTGCCGAGTGAGATGCTGCCTTAGTAGCCCCATCCCACAAGCAGATCATAGGACAGTGCTGAACCTCCACCTCCGGGGTAACAGGACCACCCTGGGCTTTCTCCTTCGGCAGACTGATCCATTCCTGGTACTGCTGGTGATATTGCCTCATCAAAGCCGGCAGCCCAAACTGCTTCCCTTCAAACACAACCCAGTTCCGGGACCTCCAAATTCGCCAGAGGACAGCCGTAACCGCCATAACCAAGTGGTCTTGATGGAGGATATTCAACAATCTTTTCAGGAACAAGGGAAATGTGTGACGAGGCAACCCCTGCCCGAGATATTCCAACCCGGCGCAGTCCCAGATGGCTCGGGCCACGGGGCAATCCAGGAACAAATGCTCCAAGGTTTCGGATTCCGCCCAGCAGACAGGGCAACGAGGATGCACTTGGACTCCTTTCTCAATCAGCGCTTCGGTGGTAGGAAGGAGCCGGTTAAGAATTTGCCAAAGAAAGACCCGTAACTTCGGGGGGACAGGGGCCTTCCAAACGTGAATCCAACTAGACCTATCCATCCAACTGACCGAAGAACGGCACCGGTCTTCCATCCTCTCCAACTGACCCGCCAAATGGTAAGCCGATTTCACAGTGAAATTACCATCCTGCGTGCCATGCCAAATAAGGCGATCCACAACATTGCCACGAGGAAGAGGAATCTCCTTGATGAGCCGACAGGTACGGGGATCAAACCACCGAGCCAAGCCCTCATCGCACCAAGAACCCTCCTCCCTATCAATGACAGATAGTTCAATTGATCATATTGTTCATATTTCTCTATTCATAAGCTTTTTTTATGGGCCTATGCCCTATTGACAAGCTTAATATTCCTTGATTACCCGGCCACGTATATTTCCAGACCTATTTGTACATCGACCATTTAGCTCTAATTACTAACTAGCCAGTTGGGCAGAAACCGTTGAATGTGAGTACCTGTTTCCAGACCTATTTGTACATCGACCATTTAGCTCTAATTACTAACTAGCCAGTTGCGCAGAAATCGTTGAATGTGAGTATCTGGGCATTTTCTTTTGTCAAAGATATTCCGGAAGGAATAACAAGATACGAGAATATACAAGACCATAACGGTCAGGAAAAAGAAAAAAGAGCAAAATGATGGTCCACCAGATGCTGATCCATCGATGAAAGGGCCTTTTTGCCACGGAATGGGCAACCCTGTTATACCTACGCGAAGCGAAATGAAACGAAACACGCGTGAGAGATGTTCGCAACACCTGAACCTCTTTCAGAATGGCACCCCCAAAGCATGAGACGAGTCATTCGCAGCAACCATCCGGATGACAACTTCCACCTAGAAATCGTTGAATGTGAGTATCTGAGCATTTGTTGTTGTTTCTTTTCCTCTCTTTTTTCCCCGGTAATTTTCTTTTCCATTTATCAGTTCCTCTACTAGTATCGGTTGATGCCATGACCCATGTTCCAGTAATAATTTGGGGACATACATATTAATTACTGATTAATTAGTCACCGTTTTTTTTTAGTTTATCTTGAATTCTCCCCCATAAACAAATTATTAAATACAACATTGTTTTCATATTTTGTGAACCAAAAAAAATAAAAAAGATGAAGGGTATTACTGGAGATTTGTGTGTGGAACTGGAATGGGAATCTTTTTTCCATTCCCAGGTGGATTTGAATAATTGGATGGAGGAATAGAAGAATGAAAAAGAGAATAGAAACTTGGCAATGGCAGCAGAGAAATTCCCTCCCTCTCTCCCAGACTCCTATATCAAACAGAAAACAATAAGAGATAGCACTGAAATTTGAACTAGCAAGCTAGCAAAACGACAGCTCTTCGACAATTATTTTTCTATTTATTTACACTAAAAACAGAATATTTACCCTATTAATTAATTACTTAAATTAAATTAAGGGTCGAATAATTAAGATATTTTTTTTTTCAAAAAACGTAAACCTGCTTGTTTGTTTATTGATCAATTAAGATACAATTTGTGGGTGGGAGGTCAGTGTTTCAACGCACTAATAAAGTTTGGTGGCTTCTTTTCACATCGGGAGAATTGCCTTTGCAGTTACATTAGGGGGCAACCACATTGATACTCTCAAAACCCTAGCTAGTGCAATAATATAACTCACCTTCTTAGCCAGATTTACTGGCAATTAAGCAGTAGTCTGTGTTTCTGATTCTGGGTTGATGTATATAATAAATTTTCGTTTGGTAACAATTGATTTTTTTTTTTAAATTAGTAAGATTCAAATTAGTTGCTCCTAAAACTGATTAACTGCAAAGGGTAGCGGCGGTTCGGATGTAAAAGAAGAGCTTATAATTAATGGAACATGTATATTGGTTTAGGAGAAAATACTGAAAAGTAGTAAGAGGAAATTTGAACCAAAAAAAGAACGGAAAGGAAGGGGGTGTGGTGGTGGTGGTAGTGGTGGAGTTTTGCCAGCCTTTGCTGTCACGCCTGGAGATTCTTTCTCTCTTTCTTTGTATCCCAGGGGATTCTTTCTTAATATGCTTCAATGGAGGATGGGGAAGAAGAGCTACATAAAATACAAGGTCAATTACATAAATGATCACTTATTTTTGGAGCTATTTATAAATTGTTGATCACTTTAACTTCAATGACTTGAAAAACTTGGCTTGTCTTTTGGCAGTATAGTACATGTGTAACTAACATGATTATCTATGTGTCCATTTAGCATTAAAATAAAAAATTCCGTCCAAATATTAGGATGTTAATTCACACCGTTTAGTAATAACAAAGGTCAAACCAGAAACCCATATCTAATAAGATTTTCTAAGTGAGATTACTCGAAATTGCCTAATCATTCTCTCTTGTTACCTTAAGCTACTTAAGGATATATATTATTGTTGGTGATATCAAACTGAACAAATAGGCAATACAAAAACATAAAGGACTAAATGGAAGGATATGAATAAAACGATTTTGTTAGTTTTCAAAATGTCGGCCAAAGGTTTGTTGAACATCAAGATTGAGTGGATGATATGATTTGGTAGTAACCCCAAATATGGTGACCGTTTATGCAATAAGCCCACTTTATATGTAAATCAATCATGTCATTTTTGAAGTTCGGTAAGTTTTTCCCCGGGAACTGCGATTCCACTTGGCGTGCCATCTAGCTCACTGTATTTGGCAGTGGCAACCTTCATTCCTTTTCACAACAAACCCACGAAAATGGTTTCGTTTGTTTTCAAATACGTATATAGTAGATACCACCCAACTCACTTTTTTCCTCCACCACGTCTGTTTCAAGAAACGAGAGACTGATCAAACTAGGTCTTCTTTTGCATGGTTTTGGGAGTTCAGTAACATGGGCACTACTCTTATTTTGCCGCTTGTTCGAGGTTTTTGTACACATAACTTAGGGCTCCTTTTGCCAACTTTTCATTCTTTTTGGAGTTAAATGCATATGTGGCCCCTAAACTATAAGGTGTTTTCTATTGAAGTCCCTGAACAATTATTTTTCCTATGGTAGCCCCTGATTCATCAAAATTTTCCTAACGAAATCCCTACTGTTACCAGGCCGTTAAAGTTCCGTTAAATTGGGTCATTAGCTGCTGATTTGGCGCTAACTAAGCACCCAGTCAGCATAAAAATCCCCTAAGTGACCATTTTACCCCCAAATTAATTTAACACACGTCTATTACAAAAAAAAAAAAAATACCCATAACTCCCATGAACGTTCCATCTTCTGGTTTCGCTATCATACATATCAAACCCTATTTCTTTTATTTCCATAGAGGGTTGCAGCCGCCAAGCTCCAACGGTGGTGAGACAGCTTCAACAACGCCGGTGCAGCGAGTTCCATGACAACTTGACGATTTCGGACAACGACGTCCAGGTGCGAACACATAGAATTGCGGCTAGCAATAGTCGCCGATCGGGATCATTGACGGCGATCAGTGGAATTCATAGGCTTGTTCATTTGAGATGGAAAAAGGGAACGAGAATATGGGAAAGGGAAAACATGGGATTGAGAATGGTAGAGATGAAGAGGCTACTGGGGGCTTTGAAGAAGTGAATGGAGAAGAAGGTAAGCTAGTTGCAGTTTCTTCAGTGTTTGCTTTTATATATTCAATAATTCTGGTTTTGTTTTACTCCTCTTTGTTGAATGCAGCTACTGAAAATTGTGAGGATAGAAGTGTCGAGAGAGATGAGTTTGCTGATTATAGCGAAGAAGAAGAGGAAAAAGAAGGTGAGTGAGTCGACTAAATCTAGCTATATAGTTTATGAATTGTTTACGTATATCACAATTGTTTATGTATCAATCAAAATTAAAGGAGACACAATTTATGTTGTGACGTAGATGATAACACAGTTTATGGCTTGTTCAACAACAACAAGAGGCCTTCCGAGGAAATTCCATTTGAAGCATTTGAGTTTGGAAGTGATGCTGAGGATGATGAAGTACAAGAATTGAGGGAGAAGGTACAGACTGTGAATGATAGATTGAAGAAAGGGATACCCATCCCATACGGTGATAGTCAATTCTACTTCTCAGATTCAGATTTAGATCCAGATTATGAAGAACATGAAAATGAGGGAAGCTCCGAGGGGTTCAATTCTGATGAAGTTGGGAGCTATGAGGACACTGATCTAGAAGATGAAACTGCAGATCATGGTGTTCGGAAGAAATCAAGGTTTCCCCAATATTGTAAGGATACAGACAAACCGTTCTTTGAGCTTGGGATGGTGTTCACTAATATACGCGAGGTAAGAGCAGCAGCGAACAAGCATTCCATAACAGAATGCAAGGATCTGAAGTTTAAAAAGAATGAGGCTAAGCGATTCAGAGCAGTATGCAGGTTCAAAGGGTGTCAGTTTTTGTTCTTTGTCTCTTATGATAGGTCCATAAATCGACTACAACTGAAGACGCTAACTGAGCATACTTGTTCTCAACATTGGAGGAATAGTAGGGTTAGAGCTGAATTCATTGCAATGAAGTATAAGAGAACCATTAGGTGTAATCCCCGATGGAAGCTTAGGGAAATGCGGGCAACGATCAGGGAGGATATTGGCACGGATGTGTACCAATCTATTTGTGAAAGGGCAAAGAAACTAGTGCTTCAGAAGACTCAAGGGTGCTATGTAGATGAGTTTGGTCTTCTTTGGACATATGCCGAGGAGATGAGAAAAGCAGATCCTGGAACAACAGTTAAGATCAAGGTCGATCGTCTCAACCCCGAGAACAAGCCTCTTTTCCAACGCATGTATGTGGGTTTTGCTTCATTAAGGAGGGGTTTTTTACAAGGGTGTCGACAAATAATTGGCTTGGATGGTTGCTTCCTTAAAGGATTATGCAAAGGGGAGTTATTGTCAGCAATTGGTCGTGATGCAAACGACCAAATGTACCCTATTGCATGGGCTGTAGTTGAGGTGGAATCAAAAGATTCTTGGTCTTGGTTTCTAGAACTGTTAGCTTCTGATCTGAGTTTGGGAGAAGGTAGTGGTTGGAGCATCAGTTCTGACCAACAAAAGGTTAGTAACCATTACACTTAATTTAAGATTTCAGTAGTGCACGCTACTAAGGTGCCAATTGATGGCAGCTGTGAGCTCATGATCAGCTTACTCTAAATTGTATGTCAATTACAGCTTCGAGATTCTTCTAATTTGACCAATGAGCTTTGTATCTTATTGCAGGGATTGATTCCAGCAATAGCAAGTCTTCTACCAGCAGCAGAGCATCGTCTTTGTGCACGGCATATCTTTTGCAACTGGAGGAAGGTTCACAAAAATCTAGAATGGCATCCCTATTTTTGGGAATGTGCCAAGTCAACTACAGTTATGAAATTCAACCATGCTTATAAGAAGTTAGAGTCTAGAAATAAGAAAGCGGCACAGGACATGGTTCGTGTGCCAAAAGAGCAGTGGTGTAAGGCATTCTTTTCAACCATGGTAAAATGTGACTCCGTCGACAACAATATATCAGAGACATTCAATGCAAGCATAGTTGAGGCGAGGCATAAACCACCGTACAGCTTGTTGGATGATATACGCGTTCTCACCATGGAGCGGATTGCTAAAAAACAAGAGGCGGCTTCTAAATGGACTTCCCCATTTTGTCCGAAGATAATGAAGAAGCTCGAGATTAATGCGAAAGAAAGTAGGATATGTCGAATTGTGACTTGTGGGAATCATGAGTATGAGGTGAACCATGGTGACGAAAGATACAAACTGAGACTTGGAGCTGAGACGTGTTCATGCAGAGCTTGGGATTTGAGTGGGATCCCTTGTCCCCATGCTATCACGTGTCTTGTGTATGAGGGTAAAGATCCTGTGGATTACATTTCCAACTGGTACTCTGTGGCCAAGTACAACGCCACTTACTCGAACACCATGTCAGGGATGGATGGACCAAGACAGTGGGTGCCAGTTAATTTGGATCCGATTCAGCCACCCCCATTCAGAGCAATGCCTGGCAGGCCAAAAAAGAAGAGAAGGCTTTCCGCTGATGAAATCTTGCAGAAAGACAAGAAAAACCCTCACAAGTTAAGCAGGGTGAATCGGATCATCTTTTGTTCAAAATGCAAACAATCTGGGCACAACTCACGTACTTGCCCAACAAAGAATGCTCCACCAGTGGTAAGTTTAAGTGAATTAAGTTCATTTGAATGGATGTACTGTGAGGATTTGTTTTAAGTACTACATGTCTTTGTTAAGTTACAGTTGAAGAGTTCGGCATAGGATAACAAGAATAGCACCAATGTGTTTAGCATAGTGTTTAAGTGTTTTTTTCACATACTTAATTCATTTTCAGGCTTGTGCAACTTCTGTTAGAGCATCGCAAGGACCTACTGGAAGAGGAAGAGGAAGAGGGAGAGGGAGAGGGAGAGGAAGCAGTAGGGGAAGGGGGAGATGAAGATGGTTACGTACTATTCTAGTGACTGAATATTATATAGTCTCATTGTCAGCTTTTTCTTCACATATTTCCTTGTCCTCTTACGAATATGAATGTCTGGTAGTGGGATTTTATATTGAGCTACAATTCAACTTGCAAGAAACTCCAGGAAACAAGCATATATTAATGTGACCTATTTCCCATTTCAACTTCTTTGATAAATATATAATTTTTTTATATTGTGATATACATTTGGCAGTGAGGTATTGCTTTATATCAATTGTGATAAAGGAAACATAAGTGGGGATCGTTCATGGGAGTTATGGGTAATTTTTTTTTTTGTAATAGACGTGAGTTAAATTAATTTGGGGGTAAAATGGTCACTTAGGGGATTTTTATGCTGACTGGGTGCTTAGTCAGCGCCAAATCAGCAGCTAATGACCCAATTTAACGGAACTTTAACGGCCTGGTAACAGTAGGGATTTCGTTAGGAAAATTTTAATAAATCAGGGGCTACCATAGGAAAAATAATAGTTCAGGGACTTCAGTAGAAAACACCTTATAGTTTAGGGGCCACATATGCATTTAACTCTTCTTTTTGCGCCTTTTTTTGTGAGAAAGTGGAGTTGTGGAGCTCGCACTAGTTGCTACTACTTCTGCTGATATTGTCTATCTGCTTGTTTAGGGAGGACACGATTTCTGTTTTCAATTTGTCTTTTAGGTTACTTTGATATTTGAACTCTGGCCTTTAGAAAGATACACACGACATTTTACTACAGTGTCTCTATGGATCTACTTTATGATCTTTCCGAGTATCGATCACAGTTTGATGCAATGTTAATCATTGTAATTTTGTTATTTCGGGTTGTTTGGATGAGATAATTGAGTGAGTGCAAATAACCCGTTTGTTTATAAAAGTTGGTGATGAGTTATTTGTATTTGAGTTAATTTGAAATAACTCATTAATGAGTTATTGTCAATACCTCATAGGGGTAGTTATCGTGAAATAACTCACAAATACCACATTCTCATTTTGTGAGGAATTCCACTTTTATATTAACTCGTTACACACAACAACTCATCCAAACGACCCCTCAAGTCATTGCTTACTCTAAATGATCATTTCATTATCGACAACAACACACTTTTTTCCCGTCACGGACTTAAGAAAAAACTTAAGGTAGTCAATCTAAAAGACTAAACCTCACACTTAAGAGACAATAAAAAAGATGCTTAGTTATGCTAGTTGGTTATTTGAATTCAATTTGACATATCAAGATGAACCCATGATTCTATACAGCAGAGCAAAAACCAGATACAACTTCAGCATTAATAGTTGATCACATAAATGCACCACACATATAGCACAATGGATCTATGCAAGTTTTGAAACATAGTGAACTGTTTGACTAACCTGCAGTTACTGAAGTGTTTGATGTGGGCAAAACATTTTTTTTGTGTTTTTTGTTTTTTGTCTCTGTGTTGTGTGGCATGTGGCGATGAGTGGTTGACACTAGCTCCATATTAACATTACCTTTATGTTATGCTTGAGCTCGACTGTTGAGAGCATTATTTGACTCCATCCCCCATAGCTCTTTTGTGTTACTTTCACAATCAACTAATAAAGTCCGTTATATATAGAAAGAAAGCTATAGCTTATGCACATTTGACATGATGGAAGAGAGACTGATCGTATTCGTAGATAGATACTTTTCATAGCAATCTGCTGCTGAAAGAATAGAAGGCGCCGTTTGGGGAAATGAAAAAGGATTTTTGATGTTTTTGAATTTTGCTCTGACCCAAAGCTAGCGTTGCTTTCAGAGAGAGTGGACTGGACTGGACTGCAGCTTGGGGCTGAATATTAATTTAATGCGTATAGTATGAAACGCCAAACAGTCACGGAACACTGAAGCAGTCGTGACCTTGCTACTGGGGTGAGACCAGATGTGGGCTGTGGCAATGAATAGGACTGGGCGCAGAGTATGTTTGGTACGTAGTTGGGTTCTTTCTTTCTTTCAAAAAATTGTCGTTTTGGGGTGAGTTGTTTGTCTGTTTATGTTGATTAGATTTTGGCTCTACGTATGTATAGTTTTGGCAGTAAGCGGATCCTTGTAATGAGGGTTTGCATGGTGGAAGTTAATGCCGTTTTGGCATTACTATGGGTTTCTGAAAGCTGATGAATATGACAAACAGGTATATATATATATGTATGTACATGCAGTGGCGTAGCCAGGATTTCGTTTAAGGTGGGTCCACCTAGAAAAAAATACATATGATAAAATAGCTTTCGTTAATATAATCTTAAATTGAAAATTTTTGGTAAATTAAAATGCATTAGTAGTAAAAATTATCAAGAATATCATTCTTCGTACCAAATAATTATTGATTTAGTTAGTCGTACACACGTACTGTTTCAAATGGGGTTCTTTGTCAAGAACCGTTAGTATCAATAAATCGAGTTGTTGATAGAGGTTTAATAATAAATCCTATACCAATTTATGATTTAGCTTTCGAATAATGTTCTTTGTAAAAAAACATTTAGTATCAAGCAAATCGAGTTGTTGGAAGATATTCAATAATACATATGATACCATTTACTAGCATGCTCCCTCATAAGAAAATCAACTTATATGAAATTGAAGTTTGCACAAATATGCATACCGTATTAGATTCAAACACAAAACTACTATTATCAATTAAATGTGACATAATTTTCGATATCAATTAATTATCGTATCTAATTTAACCATTTTCCTCCCGAACCAGGGTGGGTCCCGGGACCCACCCTGTTACCCTCCCCCTCCGCCACTGTGTACATGCAATCATGACCAACTTTCAGAACTGCATATAATAGGTCAAGCTAAGGCAATTATCATTCTCAGCTGAACTCAACAATTTGGTGAAAGAAAATAGTCAATACCGTCTATTATTGGTCAAACGTTTCGAAATACAAAGTATAAATCATCAATTTTTTCTTTATAACGTGTTGTATTGCTCTTAATAATTTTGCAACTCTTTTCTTAACAAAATACTGATGAGATATTAACGTTTGTCTAATACTTTATATTTAAAAAAAGTTTGGCTAATCATTTTGAAGGTTGCCAAATCAGCTTCACCTAGATTGGAGTGCATGTGTAGATTTGTGAGTTTCGAAGGGGCCATTAATTATTAATGGTGTCTGTCAACTCATGTCGAGGTTGGTTATTGTGGCCGGCCGGGCGGTGTGGCTGTACGTAGAGGAGACGGTAACAGTAGGCAGCTTTCATGCCCCGTTCTCCAATTTCCGTCTCTTCTTTTAATTTGTTCCCTCCATTGGAGAAGATGAACTTGCAAGCATGGTCAAGTTACGACGGCAAGGCTGATTCTTTCCTCTGTTCCCATTCTATTCAAGCGAAAGCCTTTGGTCTACTCAATGTCATCTTGATTGCAGCGCAAGACACAGAACCTACCCGCATCCGAACAGACTGCCAGGTTCTTACTCTTGCTCTTCGTCAAGACCCTTCTCTTTGGCCTTGGCAATGTCGTGCGACGATTGCTCGCATGGTGTCGGTCATCCATTCTGCTCCATGGATCAAGGTCGAGTTCGTTCCTCGGCGTCTGAATTCACTCGCGGATTGGGTTGCTGGGCAAGCTCGACTGAATACATTACCGGTGGACTGGATTGTAATTTGTGATATTATTGCTCCACTCTTGTAATGTTACTGGCTTCCCTTCTTGGGATTGGAATAAGAGGATTACTTGTTAAAAAAAAAAAAAAGAGAAGCTCAAGGTACATACTGTGATTTGTCTACGTGGACTATATATCAGGAAACAATACATTAAGGAGTTCATAGAACGACTTGGTTTCAACTCTTCTTCTCTTTCATCGCGAAGGAGAAACTCTCTCTCTCTCTCCGTATTGAAGCTTCCATGACTTCATATAATGTACCGTACCCCATCTACCACTCTTTCGTCCCAAAATGGATAGCAAGGCTGCGCGCTGCTGCTGAAGTCGTCATTCCCTCCACCACACGCAACGCCAGGAACTTCGTACCCATGGAATGGAATTGGACAGCGCAGCACATCCAGCTGGGAGGTGAAAAGGACGACGTGGACTGGGAAAGAAAAACGAAAACGACGCCGCTTCTCAATCATCAATCAACCACGCGGAAGCGGAAGAAGGATGGGCCGGCCGGGTGGGTCTTCTCGGCGAGTGATATTTGTCGGTTCTAACCAAATTACCAAACCCACCTTCTCGCAACCTTTTGACCGACCCGTGAAGTCGGTCTTGGAAGAAGAGTACTATAGGAAGTAGAAACCAATGATTGATATGCCTTATTGACCATCCGACGACGTAGTATCTAGTAGTATGAAACGGTTGAATCACGGTCAAATCACGATTTTAACATAAAATACGTGAGTATTGACTTTTCCGGTACAACCTACGGTAGAGTGTTTCAATCATTGATAGGAACCCATAGAACTGGGGGTACTTCATGTGGGTGATTTTGACCTAATTTCAAGTTAGATGATTTTAATGAACTTGGATAACGAGAACTCGTAGCCGTTATTTTACGAAATTAATTAAAACATGGAATAAAAAGGAATAAAGATAAATGAGTTTTTCAAAGAAGTTTACATCATTGGTTCTAAATTCGTTATACAAGATACAAAATAGAATACATAAGATTTATGAGATGACAAAAATACGTTACGTAACAATTTGATTTACGATATTTTGTGATAACTTGACACAAGGTAAAGATGGGAAGGAAATAGGGGTGGGCATACGGTTCAGTAAAATTGAACCAAACCTAACCGAATCGAATATAAACCGAATCGAAATCGAATTAATGTTATTCGGTTCGGAAGGAAAAATGACATATTTCGGCAATCAGGGTCCTTTCGACCGAACCGAATTTCCGAATTCCGAACCGAATAATCGAATTACTATAATTGCAAGCTCCAAATGATGGATTTTTTATGTTTCTACTTATTATGAGACTTAAATATTTGAATCATGTTAGTGTTTTATGACTTATGTGTTGAAATGTTTGATTTTATCATTGACGATGCATATTTATTGTTTACATTAGGGGTGAAAAATAATTTAAAAGAGAGAAGATACAAGCTAACCTCACAAGTTCAGTTTTGTATGAAAAACCGATCGAGCCGAATTATAATTCGATTTGAACCGAAGTCGATTCGAATTCGATTTGAGGTTTAATGAAATTCGGGGACCCGATATGCATTATTTCGATTCGGTTCAAACCGAACCGACCGAATGCCCATTCCTAGAAGGAAACCCTTGGAAGTGCATGTGATCTGTTAGCTAGCCAAGCCAACTGTAAGCAAGAGATAGAGAAATAGTTAGGCTGGTACTGGTAGCTAGCTAGGTAAAGATGTGGGGATGTTTGTCTTGTTCCTGAAGATCTTTCTTCGTTGGTTTTGGTTCTTCTCTCTTTTTCACGATAGAGAAATTAAATAGAGGGGCCTGATGGGAGGGAATCGTGGTCCTTCAGGATTTGTTTGTGTCTCTAGCCCTGTGACAGATACCTTTGATCTGCTATAGTTACACATATTGTCCATTTCCAGATTCCAGCTGCTCCCCTTAATTTGTGTGGATATAAATTTTGAGGAGCAATGGCCTTTTATTTTTTCTAAGGGACCTACGTACGTACGGAGCCCTGAGGTTATAATTTGGACCCCCTTACGCCTTTCTTTGCGTTGGGGATACCCTAAGCTGGGGGGACATATTGTTTTCTGTGTGAATGGTCAGTTTGGAAGATGGATGGATGGATGGTTAGTTGGTGGAGTTTCCATTTGTGAACTAGCGGGGTATAAGCAGTAGGAGGGGCATATCCATGGGGAGTTAATTAGGAGTGTACGGAAAAAAAACACGATTCTATGTTGAAGTCTAAAAATGTATGTTTTTTAACTTCAAAGTTTGATTTCGACTATATTTTTTGTCCATCTCTTCAACCATGTTTTCTCCGCTCCGTCAATCTTTTGTCCGTGTCGATGACCATCTTCCAAGCAGACCATTGAGGCAGAGAGACGCATAGCCGACGACTCTCGGCAGCCTCCATTCGAGGTTGCTGTGTTGGTGCGGCCTTCCTGCTCAAGTCATTTGATCAAGTTGTGAGTAGTGACGACAACTTAAGATAATTCAAGAAACACGATCTCTAACATGTTTTACATTCATGACAATTATGCACTGGTACAGCGAAGGAATGCAAAACACAGATACTTGTTTTAAGACAAAAGAAGGAATAAGAAGAAAGGAATGACAGGTAAACTGCATAATAATGTATAGATTCGTATCTATGATTAAATCAATGATTGACATGTGATTACCGTCCGTCACTTATGGTCTCTACACAATAATTGTGCCGAATTTCAACTCATACGTTGGACAAAATTCCTTGTGGTTTAGTTAATTAATCAGTTAACATTCCTAACCCACCTGGATCAACTTTTCTTTGGGTCTTTACAAAATTCCACTTCTCGAATCAAAAATAAAATGCATTTAACAACAAATGTAGGATGGAAAACTTCTAGAGCTTGTGGAAAACTGTAGCCTGTAGGGCTTGGTTGCTAAAGGGAATGTTGTTTCTCGTTAGTTAGAGTATCAAACGCAGCCGCTTTGCGTGAGAGAGACCATGTCACTTCATCTAACTGCTTGTTTTGGTTGTTGCAGATGAGGGTTTGAGCAAGGATGGAGGCGAAACATTTATACATTTTTTGTAATTTTATGTGAATTTCAGGCTAAAACAAAGAACATACAAGCTGATTAGGAAAAGGAAAAATATTAAAAAACCCTACCCGTAAATTAGGTACTACTAAAAAAATCAGATCTTATTATGAATAACCAAGGGTGATGGATACTATCACGGGCCCATCAAAACTTGTTATCAATTGACAGGGTTATGAACTCAGGCTAATCCGAATTGAAGAAGGATTGCAGAAGAAGAAGGTTCAAATGCAGTCAAGTGAAGAAGAACCGTTTCTGTACGAAGGACATTTCATAAAGAAAAGGCTAGACTGATAGTTGTGCAACCCACCGTTTTATTTAACATAACCGTCAAATGACTTTAACATAACCAGTATAAAAAGAGCAGAGCAGCAGCTAGCTGCCTCTGTGATTCTCGGCTACATTTCTACCCTAAACCTAGAAATTCGTCATCAATAAAGATAGATGGGCTTGCATGAAAAACTTTCCACAAGCTCACGAGTCACAAACTTCACCGTTTCTCTTAATAATTGGGCCGAAGCTATCTATTCTTAGAATCCAAAGTAAAACAATTCCAGTGGGCTTCTCTACGAGCTCCGCACACAGAAAAAGCCCTTTATTATTTTACGAATAGCCTAGAGAACAACAGTGTACTGGGAGTGGGCTGGACAATTGTTGTTCGCATTCAAAGAAAGCAACGGCGTCGTTCGTTAGTCATCAATCTATTCCAAACGGCAAAACAACTTCCACAAGGAGAGAAAACGCCGACGGTCATCGCCCCGCTGCCGAACCGCCGAGCAGAGAGAGCTCCGTCGGCCAATCCATTACAAATCACCATCCATGGCCGCAGGGCTACCGCTTCTCCGCCGCGTCATCGCCGTAGACGCCGCGATATCTCGATTCCTCCACACCCTCTTCCATCCCTACTTCCCAACGGCGCTCCTTCTCCTCCTCGAGATCTCCGCCGACTTCCGATTCTCCTTCCCGATCTGCCTTGCCCTCCTCTTCTCCCCACTCTCCCCGGCACTCCTCCCTCTCTTCAGTCCTCTGCTCTTCGGCCTCCTCCTCGACCTCGCCGTCGTCGGCCTCACCAAAGCCATCTTCCGCCGCCAGCGCCCGCCCTACAACCACTCTTCCATGTCCGCCGTCGTCGCCGTCGACAAATTCTCCTTCCCCAGCGGACACTCGACCAGGGTCTTCTTTGTCGCATCCTTGGTTTCTCTCTCGGGGACCGCAATTGAGGCCGCTCTGCTCGAGCTGAAGGCCGGCGGAGGGCTGGCTGAGCAGTGGATTGTTGGTGGTGACGAGGGCAGAGTGGTGGAGATAGTGGCGATTGGCGTCTTCGCTTGGGCAGCGATTACGGCGTCGTCTAGAGTTTTCCTTGGCCGGCATTTCTTCCTTGATGTTGTGGCAGGGGTGTGTTTGGGAGTTCTTGAAGGTCTTGTTGCTTTTCGATTCCTGCGGTTTGAGAATTTCCTAAGGTAAAGTTTGACGCATTGCCATCTCTATAGGACTATGCCGCAAATCCTTAGTTTTCTAACGAATGGAGTTGCATTTTGTAGCTAAAAAGTAGGATTGATTCTCAAATTCATTGGTTTACTGAATGGATGCGAATGAATATTATCCTGACTTATGTATGGAATCACTTTGATGAGAGTGTTTTCTGTTGATGAGTATTACTGGGAGTAAGAATTTGATACAATCCTAATATAGCTCGGTCTACATGTCTGCAGCACCCTACTTTATCAGAAAGTCGCCGAGGTTGCAAATTGAGTGCTTGCAATCTGCATTAGGTGCTTCCTCCGCGGGGAAGATTGGATGAACTCTCTTTGAATTTCTATCAACAGAGGATAGCGGGAGACTAAATGCCTCTTGCAGTGTCCCATGAAATCTCGGTTCAGGTGCGAATGATCATTGAAGTAGAGTGAAAGTTGAGATTATGCTACGTATTGTTGATTTTCTGCCGAAGTTACCATCACTCTGTATTCATCTAACCGGTCTCAATTGTATATCATTTGTTACCACAACTTGATGGTTTTTGTTGATGATGGATAAAGCTTGAAACTTTGCATACCACATGTTGTGGGATTCCGACAGTTTTTGTTGTTGTTTGTCCGACTGAAAAACTACAGTTGCACATCTTTATTCGAGGTTAAACATCACTCGTTGGGGGGCCGTTTGAACTTTAGGGATCCTAAAAAAAATTCTTTGGTTTATGCTCTTCCTTTACGAGTGAAGGTTTGGAGTAGGAAAAGTTACCTGCTCAATGTCCCTTGAAGGTTGTCTCTGTAAACGTGGTATGTTTCCTGCAGAACTGATAAGATAGGTTGGTAAGTATACCACCTGTCTCTTAGACTGTCATGTCGAGCACATTACCAGCAGTTGGTGGCTGGTAGCTAAATTTGCGCATTGGATGGCTCATGTGACAGCCACTTTGTGGCATCTCGAGTATGGAACCCACAGCCTTTGTTCTTCTAGCCTTCCTTTTTCTGTGGCCTTATAGGTATCTTGATAGCTAAAGGTGTTTCTTTTATGTTATCATTTGTATGAAGAAGCTTGTGGGTGAATGTCTGATGAGTTTGAGAATCACTCAACCGTTAGGAGCTAGTTTACTATGTAATGCAGGCAACATACTGATTATCGATTGAGATTGATAGACTGATTGATGATTGACTTTAGTCGAGTGAAGGAATGAGGATGTTAGGCGTGATAGATTAGAGATGAAAGAAACGGTGAACTCTCTCAAAGCAAGGAAGTGAATGTGGTGGTTAATAGTTGTTAGCTTGTATTGTATTCACTAACAAACTCTACGACTTGATACTTATACCAATCATCTACCTTTTGTTCATTTACTTCTCCCATGTCTATTTCTAGTTTCTGTAGCTGAAAGGGAGATGCATGTGCATGCTTTGAATTTCGAATAGTGTTTACTCACTCTTCTCTGCACTCTGCAATTTCTTTTCTCCTGTAGCAATAAAAATGGTCCTTTTTCCTAATCTCCCCCTTCATGCCAGGGACCTACCATGGAAGTTAAAGCTATTTGATTTGTGAACTGCTTTTGGGGCTTTTGTCTATATTATTATTGAGTCTTCTTAGTGGCTGGTCCCCAAATTTGACTCAGAATGATGATTAGGTAGTACTGGTGTTTTTTTCTTCTTCTGCTTTGGCAATGAAGATGGTGTTGAGGCTGTGGCCTTTGTCCACTTGTGATATTAGTATCCACATTTCTTGGTTTTTGTTAGTATTCTTTGCTTTCCCATGATTAATGTCCTATTTTTTGTGTTTGGCTTTTAGTCATAGGACAAATCCATGGAAGCCAAAAATGGGTAAATGCTCTTTCAACCATATGCCCTCCAATGCTTTATTTCTTATAAGCTATAATGGTTGCAGCAACTCCTTTACTGTAGGAATCAAGAACCAACAAGGGATATTGTGGTATCAATCAACCATCTTACAACGGTTGGGGTAGTTTTTGCCTTCACGAGGCTTCTGTTATGGCTCTGCTTTATCAAGTTGTAGCTAACAAAGAACAGTGTGGTGACTGGATTCTGGACAGCTTGATTCAATTCAAGTCTTTCCTTGGTCAATCTATTTGCGGATTGGACCGGTCAAGCTGCTCATTTATGAGTTTATGGCCAAACTTAGTACAAAAAAGTTGATACCTAAGGAAGGATGGAGTAGATAGATATGTTGACATAATGCTGAGAGAGAACTGTCGACTGTTACCTATTTGATATTGGCTTTACATGCTGGGTTGCTAGGCAGGCAGCAGCTTGTGAATTCCTAAAACTTTTTTTCTGCCAAGAAAGTGAGGTAAACATGTGAGGAGCTAGCTTACTGGGTTTTCTTCTCTTCCTTTTCTTTTTTCCACCCTTGGTAGTAGTTTGTATTTTACAAAAGCACATAATTGTTTTGGGATGAAACATTGAACACATTTTTGGGCATATTGTCATCAACTCGGTGGAAAGGGGTATCTTCCCTTTTACCCCCCAAGAAATGTTCAGAGGACCACTGAGAGAAAGCCAATCTAGATTCTGGGTAGTACTCATCAGGAGGGGGTTGATAGCCCAGCAGGAGTGTGGATTTATTGCATCTCTCTCTCCCTCTCCCTCTCTTGCTCTGTTGTGTTTGTTTCTTTGGCTTTTCAGATTACCCAGTTGAGAATTTATCATGGTCATGATAATCATCACTCACTGGGCTGACTGGGCATGGCAGCAAGGGGAAACCTGAGGCAGAGATATTTCAGAAGAGAGGGGGGAAAAAAAACACAGTTGACAGTAGAAAGAAGGTGAGTAAAAAGTTCTTATGTCTATGCATGTATATTTGGAAGAGATGAGATAAAGACAGTGCATCCATCATTTTATGAAGGACGTCCATCTCCCCCATGTATGTATGTATGTATGTGTATGTAACACTGCTATTCGTACCAAAATGGAGTCATTCATTTCAGGGCTCTTTATCTTTCTTCTGGGGTGGTTTGGTTTCTCTTTCTTACGGGTGGTGGAATGGAATGAGAGTACAATCGATTAATTACTGTTGTTATTGCATTGCAGGCTGAATTGGTGATGATGGTCTACAATGGTGGCCTTCTTTCTTATCAGTTCTTTCTCATTATGACCCCTCTTGGCTCCTAGAGCCCCTAGACTTAATCAAAGGGAGGAAGGGGTCCTGCTGTGCAGCTGCCCCCCGCTTTTCTTTCTTTCTTTCAGTCAAATATTGAATGAAGAAGGAAGGGATTTTAGCGAATTGGATTATAAGAGACGAGTGTGAGTGCTCCAACACTAAAATGGTTAGTTAGCCTTCGAGCCCCCTGTACTTTGGTCAACTAACAAACAAGTCCTCGAACTTTCAGTTTTAGCACATAGTGAGGGGACAGCTTCATTGGCATTTGGCAGGCAGAACTACTGTGTTCGTTAAACTTCTTGTGGCATAAGTAGTTGGTTAAAATTGAAAGTTAAGTGGCTTGTTTGTTAGTCGAGACAAAGTGCAGTAGTCTAAATGTGACTCGTATGTGAGTTCTGGATTTCTGGTTATTTTTCCTCCCTCTCTTTTTGGCTACAAGGAAAAAGGAGCTGGCTGTGGCTGCGTCTTGCCAATCTTGCTGGATGGTGTTGGAAGAGAGGGTTTAAACTTTAAAGCTTTTTCTATTCTTATTTTCATGAGCAATTCTGATATGTTATAAAGCATTGGTGCTTTAATTTACAACTTGAAAATTGTACCATAACGCTAAATGTATAAGTTGATATTGTACCATAAAGAAATTTGTACCCTTATGTTATGGTACAACTTTAAAGTTGTACCATTACATAAAAGTACAAGTTCAAGTTGTACCATAAAAGAGTTTGTACAAAAGAATATATGTACAATCTGAAGTTGTACCATAACATTAAAGATATAATTTTAAGTTGTACCATAAAGGTAAAAACATATATCACCAAAGCATAGTAAAATTCCTCTATCTTCATAACCATTAATAAGCAAACATTAATAAGCAAAAGACAAATAGGTGCTTCTTCAATGTATTTATGATTGGGCAAAAAGAACTTTCTTAAGCAGCTTTACCCTAATGGCATGCTTTCTTTAGTTTCCCTTATTAGCTGCTTGCGACTAATGATTTGTGAAACCACTCGATCCTCTTTTGCAGGTTTAAAAAATAGCGACTTCCATATCAAGGGAAAATCTCCTCTTTCTCAAGATTTGAGGATTAGTTTATCATATAAATAATCCTTCGTGGGGCAACTAAAGATCTCGAAAATCATTAGCGAAAGAGATAGAGGGAGGATCGTTGTGTTTGTGTTGTGTACCTTTTTAAATTTTCTTACTACTCCTCATCTACCACTTTTTGTATTGCTTATGAGGACATCATTTGTCACAATTGGGTTTGATTACCGAATGGGTATTTGCACTATGAAATTCTTTTTTATTTCTTTGTCTACATCAGAACTATACTCAATGGTTAAAATATGTCACTTCTACCCTTTGTCAATACAAAAGTGTATTTTAAAAGAAAAAATTGGAACACAAAAAATAGACAGCAAAGTCACCTAAACAATCCAACTAATCACAACTGAAAGCTAAAATGATATAATCGTTCATTTTAAATAATTGTTTCATCCATCAAATATATATGCATAAAAATAAAACAAGCCATGTATTCTAAAAAAAAAACATTAACGCATCAATCTAACAAAAACATTCTAAAGCCCAAACGGGCAAACGACATCCTTGTTATCAAGGTTCTATTAGTTGATGATTTAACTCTGATATGGGATATTGGCAAAAGGGTCTTTAACTTTAAGTCTTTAACTAGCCTTTTTTGACTGGTTGGAGATTTGCTGATGATTGAGTGGGGATTAGGATTAGGGACTAAACGTGATTAAAGCTTTGATTGATTGACTCAAGACTTGAATGGGTGATTAATGAATGTTGATGAAAGTGCATGATCAATTTACTTGCCCTCTATTCTTTTAGTCACCGCATGCATGACAGTATTTTAAGTAAAGGTAATAATTAAAGTATCATCTTAAAGATCTCTATAGTAAATTTGCATTGAACTGGACGTGACTCAATGGAGAAGCTTTGTGTAGTCTAGAAGAAGTTACAGTCTCCTCATTCTTCTATATTTTTTTATCTACGATTATAATGTGATTATATTCGCATGTTTAGAAAACACTAGGAAATGGTAGGATAAAGAGTAATGGCCCCTTTCAACATTTAGGTTTAACTGTGCGAAATTGTTGCACTTTGTCATTATCCGTCGCTCCTCATTCTAATTACTCATGATTTCGCCAATGATATCCTTTTCCCCTCAGACCAGCACTCTCGTGTGTGTAGTTGGCTCGGTTGCTGGATCAACCGGAAAATAAAATGACACAGTCACTAGAATGTAAAATTATCCATACTAAATTACTAATCTTACTTTTCAAAAACACGTACGTACATTTGAGACAGGCGATGTAAAATCTCCAATTGTAAGAAGGAACATGCACCACATCACGCTTATTAGATAACGTTATGGAGCACATGTCACGAGGAAACAAACAACCCCGAAACGCATGGATCAAGGAAACATATTTCACTCTCTTGTATGGATTAGGATTAGGGATGAGAAAATTATCTGAAACGGTAGGGCAAAACATGAACTCGAAGCAGTTTCAGTGGGTACGGGTAAAATTCGAATTCGAATATTGCGGATAATGGGTGGACATGAATTTCTCACTATGCAACCTAAACCCGCCCGATTATACACATTCATATGTCTTTAGTCTAGAAATTATCATTATTTTTCTCAACATATTCTATATTTAGCATACAAATATAATGTGTTCATGAAATTGTTTGTTTGAAATTAATTTTCTTCGTTCTAGTGAATTATTGTCGTACTTTTTCACTTATATAATGTGAGTATACGCGTGAATGTTAACATGTTGGTTGGATTTATAAAGATAAATTATTACCCATGGATAACCGTGGATACCCAAAACCCGAATGAGTATGGGCATGGTTTTAATTTTCTATCCGATTCTTATGTGGGTATGGTTAAAACCCGAACTATTTTGAGTAGGGTAACGGATATGCACTATCCGCCCCGACCCGATCCGTTGCCATCCCTAATTAGGATTGTATTTTCTTGTGTAAATTGTGGATCATCTATATCTCAAGAGACAAACAGAGGTTTCGAATGCTAATGTCGAACCGAGAATTGTGAAATTTGCACCCTGAATTAACCTATGAATAATGTAATAGTTCATTTAGTTGGTACTTATATACAATATGGAGTAACCGGATATACGATGATTGGCTAAATAATCAATCAATAGGCAGGGTGATCAAAAGATTTATCTTCAACGTAACGAAACCCACATTTGAATTGAATTGAATTGAATTGGGTGTCCCCAAAAGAGAACCTGTTGTGTTGGAAAGGATGGTGCATGATTGTGTATGGGGCGTCACATGTTGTGCTGGGAGAGACACAAAGTAATTATACAATTGAAGATCCAAATAATAATTCAATCTCATATTCATTTGACACGATGTATAGTGGGGGCGCAATAACCACCATATCAACTCAAGACCAAAATTTCAACTCTGGCTTGCATTTGGAATCAATCTCATTTTCATTTTCACCCCCAAGGGTTTTGAACAAGCGGGTTCCATTTACCTTGCAGAAGTACTTATTAATGCTCCATTTGTCACTAAGTTCCTTGGGATTCACTCGAGTACAAATGACGACGTTGAAGCTATCAAGTCTACATCTGTCACCAGCCCGTCTAGGTTTTTATTTTCGTGGTTAACGTCTTAGAAAATGTATATGGCCCGGCGAGTCAATCATCTCTCTCAACCATCCTTATTTTTAATTTTCTTTGTAACTACGGTTCACACCTTTACAAACAATGTTCGAACGAATATATTTAAATTTTGAGAATCTACGTTAAAACTACTCATATGGAGACGGCTATGGAGATCCTTCCTGGAAGGAGAGCTCCACAAGGAAGTTAGAGAAAAAAGATAAAGTTTGACAGATGTTGTTTTGTGTTGATTTTTGGTCTTTCTCTCTCTCTCTCATTGCTCCGCTGATTTTATCTAAATCACTTCCGTAGTCTTCACGATATGAAACGCCTCGCCTTTGTCACCCACCTTCTACATCCTTCTTCACGAAGTTGTAGTCTTCAACTGCTTCGCATCCGTTCTCCAATCTTCCTTGCATAAAAGTCACGTGCACACGCACCAACTTTGTACCACAGTTCGAATCACGACACCGCCATCGATTAAAACACCATTGTTGTTTCACTCCTCGCCACCGCGTACTCGCCGCTAGATTGTTGATCTCTCGGCATCGTACACCACCCAAAGTCGAAACTCGCAACATCGTTGATCTTGCAACATTGTTGAGCTCGCAACTAGTAAAATCACTTAGCTCGCGATGTCGTTTAAATTCGCAAGTATCACTAAATCTCATGCCATTGCGGCATTGTTTAGTTCGCGGCATCGTTAACCTCACAACGCGGCAATAATGTAATATTGGAGCTAAAAATATTTCAGATGTAACCACAAAAAAAAAAAAAAAAATGGTCGAATATCATATATTTAAAATCACCACATATTTAAAATCACTTTCTATTCCCGATAGACATAATATAGGAGCGGTTGAGGTGGTGGGGGCAATGCTTTGTTTCACACTGGTGGGTGGGTTGAACTTGAAGGGGAATAATGAAATGAGTTGTTTTACAACTGGAACGAGTCCTTATTATGAGACGTCTTTGGTTTCTTTTCTTAGCTACATGGTGCTAGGCGTTGAATGTTTAGTACTTGAGAAACATGGATTTGATTGAAAGGGTTTCTCTTTGTTTTCTATGGTTAATTGTGTTATGAGACAGCCAGACACTCTCCCCAGCTACCTCACCTCCCTTCTTTTCCCCTTCACTCAATTCAAACTCCAAACCTATTTCGGATTCCTTTGTACGAAAACATTTTGTTAACTAGTCCCTACATTTCCCATCACGGTTTCAAATTCATGCATGAATGGTCATTGGACTATGGATATAGGACTTAAAGGTCGAAACAAGATAGATACTAACTAAGCTAGTTGACTCACAATTCCAAATATACAAACTAGCTAACTAGTTGAGTCGTTTCTAGCAAAGCAATCCTAGCTATGTGTATAGTTAGGCGTTTGTTTGAATGGATCAACCCGTCGAATAGATTCGTCACTAAAAATCATGGCATGATATAATGCACCTCATAAATCATATTTACTCTTTCCAACTTGATTGCAACTAACAAAGTACTCGACAATTAAGCCGTGAGCAAATATACGAGCATGAAATTCGATCCGTTCTCGTATTGAAAAGGTTGGACTTGGCTATATTGACTTGTTTCTAAAACTCGGGACATTCACTGCGTTATTACAGCTCAATCGGTTAAACTAGGGTTTTGTTACAATTTTTCTGCTTGGTGACAATTTTGTGACAAACATCATATATAAATGAATATGTTTATTCGAATTGACCTTTATGTGCAATAACTCAAATTGTATGAATTGATACGAGTGCTCCAAGATTCAACCCAATAAACCTTGTTCTCATCAATCATAAACCCAGTTCTGGGAAGGGCCATATACCCAGATCTAGCCACTGAAGTATACATATTTTCTCCAGCTTTCCAACAAAAAACCGTACCCCCCTTCAGTTTTTACCTCTAGGTACAACCATCCATGCACCTTGGTCGTTTGCTGCAGGGAAATTATATACAAAATAAATAGGACACATGT